ATGAATCCATAGTGGCATAAGTAAAAGACTGAATAAAGCAGTAAACAGGGAGAAAACATAAATCTTTCTTGCAGAATTCCAAATAAGTCCTGTAGTTTACTCCACCCCAGAGGAAAAGGCTACCTACTCCCCCACAATCTTTTAAGTGATTCATTGTGACTTCCTTTAAAGAGTACAGTATGAAAGGAGAGAAAATTAATAACTGCTGTGGAGTAACCTGACAAACACTGCTTCAGCCCAGTGATTAAGATCAATACCGGGCTGGGGATGTGGCTCAAGCGGTAGCGCGTTCGTCTGGCATGCGTGCGGCCCGGGTTCGATCCTCAGCACCACATACAAACAAAGATGTTGTGTCCGCCAAATACTAAAAAAAAATAAATATTAAAAATTCTCTCTCTCTCTCACTCTCTCTTTAAAAAAAAAAAAAAAAAAGATCAATACCGACAGTCATAGATCATATTGACGGGATATACCCATAATATGGTATAATGAATATGGCACTTAAACTTTTTTATTTTCTTCTCCAAAACAAAGAACCACAGACTACTTACAGAGTCATTCTATAATACTTCTCGGGACTGTCAAGGTTATGAAATATAGGAAAAGTCCAAAAAAAAAAAAAAACTTTTATAGCCAAAAAAGGAGACTTGAGGACAATGAGATGTGATGTTCTGGATTGGATCCTGGAAAGGAAAATGGACCTTAAATTAAAACTAAGGAAATCTGAATATCCTACGGATGTAAATTAATTACAATTTGCAAACATTAGTTCATTAATTATAACACATATGCTTTGTTAATACAGATGCCAATAACAGGAAACCCTACGAAGATATTTGGGCACCTGGTACTATTGCTCAAATTTTTCAAAAAGTCTAAAACTGTTCTAAAAGTTTATTAATAAAAAATCTGAAGTAAACACATCTTTAAGATGTGATTTATATTATTTAATATAATGTTTAGTAAATCAGATACAAATCTTTAAAACCTAATATATAGTAACAAAGCAGATTAGTGGTTGCTGGGGGAGTAACTGGGGTAGTAGAGAGAAGGAATGGAAAGAGCAGTATGTCAGGATTGAAAAGTGGCATGGCCAGGCATGGTGGTGCACACCTGCTATCCCAGCGACTGCACTCATCGGGAATCCCAGGGACTCAGGTAGCTGAGGCAGCAAGATCACAAGTTCCAGTTGTCCACAACATAGTGAGACCTGTTTCAAAAAAAAAAGGCTAGGGATGTAGTTCTGTGTAGTAAAGCACCCTTGGGTTTAATCCCCAGTACCACAAAATGAAAAGATAAACAAACAAATAGATAAATGGATAAATAAATAAAAATTGGCATGAGAACACTTTTGGAGGCAAAGGATATATTTGTTTTCCTGTTCATGCTGAGAATTTACATCTAAAACTTTAAAAATTATACAGTTTAAATGTATGTATCTTATCACATGACAATTAGGCCTTAATAAAACTCCCCTTTTAAAATTATAGGAAAAAATTCTTAAGTTTATATTTTCTTCTCCAAAACAAAAGTCATCCTCAGGAATATTTGGTGTTAGCCCCATATCCCCTGAATCTAACTGATGGATTTTGTTTCATTCAAAGATTCATATACTTGTGGAGTTCCTGTATCAATAATTCCAATCACCCAGCACCAAATTTCATGGAATAATGGTGTATTAGTACATGTTGAGAATCTTTATTATTGTTTTCCCACTTGAAGATTTTCGTTCTTATGGAAACAACCTAGTTAAACAGTATGCTTGAGAGAACTTTTTTGTAACCAACCAAAATTAATCCAAATATAGTTTGTCAGATTAAAAATGAGGCCAAGTATTAATTTTATGGCAGTAACCTGGAAACCAAGACCCAAGCCATATGGCATTCAAAGTTACATTCATAAGAAGGCCGTCATTTGATTGCTTGGGTTCAAATCTGGCTCTGTTACTTACTATTTTAATAATATTGAAAACTCTGTACCTCAATTTTCCCAATTATGTAATGGGATAGTAGTACCTATTTCCACGGGAAGTTGAAGGATTAAATAAGTTAACACATGTAAAGCGTTTAGAAGACTACATAGCAATTTTGTCTAGATTCTACTAATTCTACAGATTCTATGGCATTAGCTATTAAGGAAAAACAAACTAAAACCACAGTGTGATACCACTCCATGTATTGCATAGGGATAATAAAACAGATGTGGAGCAGTTAAAATTCTCATAAACTGCAGGTGGAAATGTAAAATGTTTAGTACCTTTGAAAAACAGTCTAGCAGTTCCTCAAAATGTTAAACGTAGGGTTATCATATAACCCAGCCATTCATGTCCTAAGTATATAACCAAGAGAAATGAAAACAGGTTTGCACAAAAACTTATACATGACTTTTCATAACAGCACTTTTCATGATAACCAAGAAGTGAAAACAACTAAAAAGTCCAACAACTTAAAAATGGATAAATAAAATGTAGTATATTTACAAAATGGAATATCAATTGACAACAACCAAGTTATGAAGTACTAATACATGTACAATATGGATAAATCTTGAAAACATACTTAATTAAATAAATCAGTAAAAATATCACATATGGAAGAATCTATTTGTATGAAATGTCCAAAATAGGCCAATCCATAGAGACAGAATGTAGATTAGTGGCTGCTAGACATTTGGGGAGGCGGAATGTGGGGGTAACTACTAAAGAGTGAGATTACTTTTTAGGGTTATATAAGTGTTCTAAAACTGATGGTGGTAAAGAATATGTTTGTTAAAGCACTGAATTGTACACTCTAAGTAGGTGAACTGTATGATATCTAAATTATATCTCAATAAAGCATGCCAATTATTTTAAGATGGCTTGGAATGAAGAAAGTCTGAAAAAAACCCCAGGAGTGTTCATAATAATAAATTAGATCATCTCTCCAGCCTTATCTACTTCCTTCCCACACTTAATCCATGCTCTATACATTATGGCCCTGTTACATTAGCCGTATTATAGTTTCCTATTTGGTGCCTTGTTAACATCTAGTATCTGCTTCCTGGACTTCTCTTTACCTAGATAATTTTTACTTATCTGAGTTAACTAATTTTTATTTAGAGTAACTAATCACTGGAACAATCAAGTCCAGAACCCAGTGGTTTTGATAAAGTTTTATTTATCACTCAGGTAGCCCCTCCTCAAGTATTCTTACCTCTAGCACCTTCATTCATCTTGGAATCTGGGAGTCATCCACTGTATTCTCTATACCTAAGTGGGAAAAACTTTGAGAAATTAGCATAGCTAGCACCTCTACATTCTCAAAGAAAGTTTCCAAATGATTAACTGATTTGAACAGGATGTATTTAAGGTGATGTCAGGATGTCTAATGACCTTGGGTTTACCAGATATTGTTGGTTTATATTGAAGTATATATTGAAGTATATATATATATACTGAAGTATATATTGCAAATATATATATATATATATATATATATATATATATATATATATACTGAAGTATATATTGCAATACGCTCTCCTCTTTCTACAGCATCTTCATGAATTTAAAGGTGATATATTTTAGTATAGAGGTGATATATTTATTATTTATTTATTTTTGTGGTACTATGATGGAACCCAGGGAACTCTACCACTGAGCTATATTCTTAGCCCTTTTTACTTTTAGATAGGGTCTCACTAAGCTGTGGAGGCTGGCATCAAACTTGCAGTCCACCTGCCTCATCCTCCAAAGTAGCTGGGATTATAGGCATGCACCACCCCGCCAGACAGAGATCCATTTTTAAAGTTCCAAAGATAATTATTTTTAAGAATAAGAATATTGAGGCAAGAAAGCACTGTTCACCATCTCTACCATAGATCTCATAATGTAGTAGAGGAGTATCAGCTAAAACCAAAGAAAACTTTCCTTAAATTGATATTTATTAAAAACTGGAACACATTTCTTAGAACAACCCATATATGGCAATCAACATCTGAACTTCCTGAACAGGTAGAGAAAAGTTACTAATTATCTTCCACTCCCAAATTATGTTAATTCTTCACAAAACTTGAAATCCTGAAAATGGTCCTCAAAATTTTATTTCTAACAGACTCTATCCGTTTTTCCAATTACATTGGCATAATTTTTAATTGGTGGTGCAAAATCTAATATGCTTATGAGGTTCCATCCCAAAGCACCTGTTATTCACGGAGGAATTCAATCTAGTGGGTGTAAATACCAACTTCAGAGTTTCAAATCTGGTAGGGAATTGGGTAGGGAGGGGCTTTGGGCGGGCTTCACTAGACCAAGGAGGCGTTGTTAGGAAGACTTGGAGCCAGCCTACACCTGTCATTGGGTTAAAGCCTTGGTAGTAGTTGAGTGTGAGGATTCTGGTATGTGGATAGCATTCGCAATGAGAACTAGCTTCATTTGGCATTGAGTGGAATCTGCAACGAAAAGCGGCTTGTCCTCCAGCACCGCTGAGAACAGAGACAGCCTTAGAGAGGACAGTCGTGTGCAGTAGGGAACCCGCAGAAGCATGTCTGAGATGCGCTGTACTGAAAAGTCTATGTATGTAGCCCTGGAGTTTTAGAGAGAAGGGCAGTACAACGCAATCAGGGATAGTTGAAAGACAGAATCTTGTGTAATTGAATTGCTTTCTCAGCTGCAGCCTCTCCAATAATGGACTTATGCGTTACTCTGCATCTCCCGTCCACGAACAGAAGTCAGAGAACTCTCTTGGAAAACTCTCCCAACTAGGAGACAAACTACCTTTTCCTGCCCTCCTCACTTGCTGCAGGAACGAAAGGACCGCCACCCTTCCTCTGACTGACCACAGGATGGAAGGCCAGGGCAGGAGCTGACCAGCGCCGCCCCTCCAGACTCAAGAGGTGGAGATCCCCCTCACCCCAATCCAGCCAAATTGACACCCATTTTCTCCTCCCTCTGCCCCTATATTACCGACACCCCCTCCTCTTTCCCCTTTCCCTCCTCCCTAAAGACAGGGGTGGAGAAAAGGGGAGTTCAGGTCGTCATGACTGAGCTGAAGGCAAAGATTCCCCGGGCTCCCCACGCAGCGGGCGGCGCACCCTCGCCCACCGAGGTCGAATCCCCCCTGCTGGGTCGTCCGGACGCTGGCCTGTTCCAGGGAACCCAGACCTCAGACACTTCGCCTGTAGTTTCGGCCATACCCATCTCCCTGGAAGGTCTGCTCTACCCTAGGTCGTGCCAGGGTCAGGATCCCCCAGACCGGAAGACGCTGGATCAGCAGTCGCCGTCAGAGGTGGAGGGCGCGTACTCGGGAGTTGAAGCCACAAGGGGTACAGGAAGCTGCAACTCTAGAGTCCCAGAAAAGGACAGCGGGCTGCTGGACAGTGTTTTGGACACTCTTCTGGCGCCCTCGGGGCCCGGGCAGAGCCAAGCCAGCCCTCCCACTTGCGAGGCCACCAGCCCTTGGTTTCTTTTTGGCCCAGAACTCCCCGAGGACCCCCGTAGTGCCTCCGGTACAAAGGGGGTATTGGCCCCGCTCATGAGCCGGCCTGAGAGCAAGTCTGGAGACAGCTCCTCTGGGACAGGAACAGTCCATAAGGTGCTGCCTAGGGGTCTGTCACCGTCCCGGCAGTTGCTGCTCCCGACCTCTGGAAGTCCCCATTGGCCCGGGGCCTCAGTGAAGCCCTCTCCGCAGCTAGCTGCTGCGGCGGAGGTGGTGGAGGAGGATGGCCCCGAGTCCGAGAGCTCCACCGGTCCACTTCTGAAGGGCAAACCTCGGGCTCTGGGAGGCACAGCGGCCGGAGGAGGAGTCGCAGCCAGCGCTCCTGGAGCGGCTGCAGGAGGCGTCACCCTTGTTCCGAAGGAAGATTCCCGCTTTTCAGCGCCTAGAGTCGCCTTGGCAGAGCAAGATGCCCCGGTGACGCCCGGGCGCTCCCCGCTGGCCACCACAGTGGTGGATTTTATCCACGTGCCTATCCTGCCCCTCAACCATGCCATCCTGGCCGCCCGAACCCGGCAGCTGCTGGAAGGGGAGAGTTACGACAGCGGGGCCGCAGCCCCCAGTGCCTTTGCCCCGCCGCGGGACTCGCTCTCGGCCTCGTCCACTCCGGTTCCTTGCGGTGACTTCCCTGACTGCACATACCCGCCGGACTCCGAACCCAAAGATGACACATTCCCTCTCTATGGCGACTTCCAGCCTCCAGCCCTGAAGATCAAGGAGGAAGAGGAAGGCGCGGAGGCCGCCGTGCGCTCCCCGCGTCGGTACCTAGTGGCCAGTGCCAACTCTGCCACCTTCCCGGATTTCCCACTGGCGCCGCCGCCGCGAGCTCCCTCATCCAAACCCGGGGAAGCCGCGGTGGTGGGCACATCCTCCAGTGCCACAGTCTCGTCCGCGTCCTCCTCGGGGTCGACCCTGGAGTGCATCCTGTATAAAGCAGAGGGCGCGCCGCCCCAGCAGGGCCCATTTGCGCCATTGCCCTGTAAGCCTCCAGCCGCTGGCGCCTGCCTACTCCCAAGAGAGGGTTTGTCCTCCACCTCCGCCTCTGCTACCGCCACCGGGCCGCCACCTGCGCTCTACCCTCCGCTGGGCCTCAACGGGCTGCCGCAGCTCGGCTACCAGACCACTGTGCTTAAGGAAGGCCTGCCGCAGGTCTACCCACCGTATCTCAACTACCTGAGGTGAGGACCTTGCGCTGGGTGCGCCTGGCATGTTCGCAAACTAGCTCTCTTGGTGGCTTAAGACTGCCAGCCTCCCTCCGGCAGCATAGGGCTCCCTTCCCCCTGGGTGGTCTCGAGGGGGTGGGCAACAGGGACCTGGCACTAGGGCAGTTTGCCTTACTCTTCTCATTACTCTTTTGGGGACACAAAGGGGCGCAGAATATGCCATTTGGGGGGAAGAAGGACCATTACTGGCATTGTGTTTACTGGAGAAGAGCTAAGGCAGTTTCCCTGGGAGGGGTGGGACTTGAAGAGTGGCTGGCCAGAACCCAAAGCAGAAACACATTAGGGATTTCATATGAATCTCAAAATGAAAATTAATTATAAGCGTAATGTTTTAATTGTGTATTTATATGTCAATCACTACAGTGCACAATACTCTAATAGTGTTTCGGATTCTCTACTATGTTTTCAAGAACATTTTTATATATATACTGAAGTAATGGAAGGTAAAAGAAAAAGAATCCTTGGTTTGTAGACTTTCCTGCTGCAAATAAGCAAAACAGTGTGAATGTCTTGAACAATACTTGTGTCTGTGTGTTTGCTGGCTCACACATGTATACACACACTTACAGAGTTAAGTTTTCAAAACTTTAAGCAAAAGCATCGCTAAGTTCTGTTGAACACTTAAAGTCAAACATGTTTATTGTTACACAGCATACAGGAAGGGTATAACATTTTATTTTGTCAGAAACTAAATTGCTCCTTATATAGAAAAGGAGTTCTGTAGAAAGATTTCTGTTTAACTAATAGAGTTTAGCTTTCCTAAACATAAATTGATACACTGTCATTCTTTGAGGTTGGTACTACTGATGAATGGTCAATAATTTGCAAGTTTAGTGAATCTAATTATAGTGAGTCTATTATATCATGTTTAGTTTGCATGTCTTTCAAGTGTGTATAATGGTGTTATATTTTAAAATCCCCTTTAACCTCATCAATACTGGTTTTAAAAACATTTAGTATCAGATAGCGGTACAACAAAAAATAAATGGAGTATTTTGTTTTGCATTTCAAGGCCAGATTCAGAAGCAAGCCAGAGCCCACAGTACAACTTTGAATCACTACCTCAGAAGATTTGTTTAATCTGTGGGGATGAAGCATCAGGTTGCCATTATGGTGTCCTTACCTGTGGGAGCTGCAAGGTCTTCTTTAAAAGGGCAATGGAAGGTAGGCTTCTTTTTCCTGATTCTTTATTATTGACTTAATTGTCAATGGAGACCATCTTTGTAATTATCCCTTGCTTCTAAGAAATAGTGATATTTTTATATATCTTAAAATATATGATGATATTTCAATAATACATTTTTACTATAATACTCAATAGTGAATGTGATTGGATATTATAATTTCATACTCTTTGATTAACACTTTCAATAGAAGACATGAGTCATCATAATCTTGAGGCCAGTGCTACTATTGTTTAATAACTAGTTTTCAGGACAGCTTGGTTTTAATGGTGTTTTTAATACATCTACTGTATATGCAAAGCACTTTACAGTTTTTATTGACAATGGTTGTTGTTGAAATTACGTGTGTTTATATATGTGTGTATATTCAGGAATATATAGAATGTACATAATGCAATTCCAAATTAACACACATACATACATAGGTATACATACATATTGCATTTACAATCTGTGTACATGATGTTGTCCTTGTATTACATGCATATTTGTGTACTGTGTATTTATGCATGTTTACATGGTCATCCCAAATAAAATTCAGTTCCCTTTCTGTTTAGTATATGTTTAATTGTGTAAGAGTATAGGAGCAAATTGATTTGAACAAATGAAAACTTTGGACATCATTGTAATTTAATTTCTAAAGAAGTATTTTGCTTTTAGTAAAAGCTACCCATTTAAAAATTATTTAAATTACATAGTTATCAAATGATTTTGGATTGGCTTGAATAGTATATTTCAGACTTCATCTTTCATAGAAAGCATTGTGAATTTCTCTTTCTACCTTCACTAAAATCTTTCGCAGCCAAACAATTCATGTTTGAAATAAAAATGTATTTAAAGATCATTTCATGTTGTAATATATGGAATAAGTATAATTTATAACAAGTTGAGAGGACTACTAAGATCATATGAACAATGTACAATGAATCAAAGTTTGAATGTCTGCTCTTTTGTTTACTGTTTCTGAAGTTTTCTAATTTAAAAGGCTTTTATTTATAAGCAGAGGGGAGTAGAAAATTTTCACTTAAGGAGACTTTAAGTGAAAATTTAAAGTTCTTCATAAAACTATTTACTTTGGTAATGCTCTATCCATGTACAAATATGCCACAATCAGTCATGTATGTCTATATGTGTCTGTGATTAAATGCAATAATTATAATAATAATAAAAGGGAGATCAGTAAAGTAGAGAAAGTACATCAGGGGAGGGAGAAGGGAAGGGAAAGAAAAGGTACTAGGGAATGAGACTGATCAAACGATGTGCATGTACAAATATGACATAATGAATCCTCCTATAAAATTAAAATTATGCACCAATTTAAAAAGTATTTGCTTTATATATTTTCAGAATGTATTTTTCATAAAAGACGAGTGCATTTAACTGATATTGAACATAATCAGCTTCAGGATAGGTTAATTGCATTTTAAATTAATTGAGACACTGTTAAAAGAGGGTGCTTGAAAGCACAGGCAAGTGAGAGTAAACTTAACTCTCCCGTGAATATGATATAGTCAGTTTCAGATGCAAGTTCTTTGTATGGAAAAGTTCATTCTCCAGTTGAGCAACTGGATTTACTATTCCTAATTGACTATGGTATTGGTTGAATGAACATTCACTTGTAGATTATGATTTTTTTCATGCTTATAGTCTACTTAGAATAGTTTAATTTCATAATTGAATGACCCATTTAGGATCCCCCAAAGTCCAGTTTATTCTAGCCTACCTCCTTTTTATAGATAAGAAAATCTTAAAGACATAAATCTGAGATTTTGGAAATTTCACAACTAGTTAGTAGCTGATTCTTAGTTTAAAAATAGGTAAAGCACTTGCCTTTCACATGTGAGGCACTGGGTTCCATTCTCAGCACCACATAATGATAAAGATACTGTGTGTTCACCTACAATTAAAAAAATTTTTAATAATAGGTTATTTTAAATTGCAGTGTCTATAAGTCAAAGATGCAAATAGATGGTATATGCTACTTAATTCTTGGAATTTACTTCATAAAGTTCATGTATAGAACTTGAACAATGAAGAGAATCCTTCATTGGATTGAAACACCCTTTTGGGGCAGTATTTAAATCATTCATCAGACTAGAGGAAAGTAATAATATTCTATTAGTAAGTTGATTCACTTAGCAATTATTATAGACCTAAGGGGTATATATTTAAAGGTATATTTAGATTTATGCCAAAGGTACTCTTTACCTCCCTCTTCCTTAGATATAATATCAAGATAACAATAGTGGATACTTTTTTAGGCTTGCTATAAATATTAAATGAGTTACTCCATATATGCCATTTTAAAAGAATATCTAGCATGTTGTCAGCTTCTATTGGTGATGTTTTTTTTACCTCCAATGAGTTTACAATAGAGTTCAGAAGGTAAAATATATGCATATGAGACATTTAAATTTTCTCATTAAATGCCCAGATAAGAGTTGAAGAGCCATATTAGAGAATTGTATGAGTTAAAGGTTGGGAAGCTAAGTTGCTAATGTTTGGATAAATTGGGAGAGATTTGGTGATTGAAAGCAAGGGAATAGAGAGAAGATTCTGGGAATTTTCAGGGATGACAAAGATGAGTAGAAGGGCTTTTACAGTTGGAAACAAATACCAGGTTTGAAATCTTAGAGGGAACAGAGTTGTGGTTCAAAGTTGAGCACTGTGTGGATGCCAGAATGGCCAGAAGTTGTAAGTCAGTGGGTAACAATTTGCATAATAGTATTACCAAGGATAATAATGATAATACTGCAATTATAAAATACTTTCTATGTGCTGGTGACTGTTTAATAGGTCTCAACTCATTTAATCCTAATAATATGGATTGTTATTATTATTCCTCCCACTCTACTAATGAGGACACTACACTGCCTTAATCACAAGAAGTGATAGGATCAGGCTTCAAACCCAGGTGGTGTGACTCCAGATCTCTGTCGGCAATCACTATGCTTCCTTTCTCATAATAGGAAATGTGGTTGATGTTTGCCAAGAGATGAAACATTCAGAGAGATAAAAGTGAATCCTGAAGAATGCAATATTAGGGATAATTAGATCTGTGTGATACAAAGAGTGGATCACATTTACTTCATATTTAGGGCAGCAATGAGAAGACAGTCAGGGGCCAAGAGCCAGTTTTCCCACCTCTCTTCAAAGTCAGGAGTGGGAGCTGAGAGAGACTCACCCAGGAAAGCTGAGTTTAACTTGCTATGTATGACACCAAGAAGAGAGAAGAAATAGAGAAAAGATACCAGTCAGAAAAAAGGATATAGGCATGGGGGAAATGACCACTCTTATGCTAACTAAATCTATTTAAAATATATTAGCCAAAACACAATTGTTGAAGAGTCAATTACATTCCTTCACCAAGACTTGTAGGGTGGGGAAGTGGTCAAGAATTATTCAGTGCCTTTCAAAGAAATGAAGTATAGTTCTATAAATGCCAGCTAGTGATCTGGTACTATGAAGTAAAGAACCACTTGTGCACTGCAACCAGCTTAGTACCAGGAAAATACTAGGTATTCTAAAAATAACTGTTTTTCTACATGAAGCCATCATCCTAACTGATAATGACATGCTTTTATTATTTGGATACTATACTCTGTAATAGTATTTGTAGTGAATATATTTGAAGTAAAATGGTTATACAAATGTTGTAATATAGTTGAAATGTATTATTTAGAACACACAAGGCTATGTAGGCATTGATGGACCTTTAATTGTATTGTAATATTATCCTTATTCTTTATTCATGTATTAATTATTCACTAATTAGTTACCTTAATCACATTAGTTTGAGTATTCATTTATGGAGCATCCACAGTGTCCAGGCACAATGCTAGGTGCTGATCAAAGAAAAATAAAACAGTATGGACTGTTCAGCACTGTCTGGCCCCTGCTCCAGCAGAGTTTGGAGAGTGGAGGGGAGAGGGGCCTTTTGCTAATCTGAATACACATACCTAATTGCAGGTATGGAAAGGGTTAGGGTCTGTGTGGTTCTTGGATAACTAGAAAGTTGATCTCCTCTCAGAAACTGGGGATAATTTAGAAAGTCTTTAGAATGAGAGAGACATCATCATAAACAGCCACAGATGAAACTGGACAGAAATGAAATACTTTTAAGGATGTGGTTTTTCTTATACTATAGTTGAATATATTTGGTGTCATAAGTGAAGAGTGAAAACAGATTTAGTAGCATAATTCTCCTTGATATGGCTTTAGAAAGAAAAATGTTAAACATTCAAATTTTCATTAACGTGATTTTTTTCCTATCTTTAGAATTCTAAAATGCTTTTCAATATTTTATAATCTACAAAATGATCCAATAATCCTTTCCACTATAATTTACTTGATTAGTATTTATAGTCTTGAGAAGGTAGTTTGCTAATCATCTTATTTAATTTACACTCTAGTAGAATTTACTCTTTGAAAGTTTTCCCATTGCCCTAAAAATAAACATATAGTAATTCTCTAAAATTCATTTCAAAACTTGCTAGCCAATTTCTTCTCAAACTGCAAGTCTCTCAGTTTAATATTTAACATGAATAAATAATTATACATTGTAACCCACTGAAGCAAGCTTCTGTTATACTGAAAAAGTAGTAGTTACAAACAGAACATTTGGCACCATCTGTTCAATATTTGATTATGTAGGGTTCCCAAATTATTTATTCTCCTTAAGAAATTGTATATTAACGTCCTGCAAGAACCAGAGGGATACAGTGGTAGCAGACATCCATGCTAATGCTAATAGCTGTTCTTGTTCTGGTCGTTGAGTCCCTTTAATTACTCAAGTAACACAGCACTACATTCTTCTATAAAAAATTAAAACATTACCAATAAGGCTATGACCTCTTTGATCAATTCCACTAGTGTTTTCCCTTCCCTATGATTCTTCTCTACCTTCACCTCTCTTTTCATGTGTGTTTATAATGTGTTGTTTGAGGTGTGTTACGACATAGATAGTATCACATAATGTAT